TCCGCCGGCTCTGTGTCCCTTCCCCCCACTGGGCGGCCTGCAGGGGTCCGGCAGGGCCCGCGTGCGGGAGACTCCCCTGCGTCCGTCCGTGCCCCGGGAATGAGCATGTGCCAGGTCGGGGGGCGGTGGGAGTGCTTTGCGGGGCCGCCTGCCTTGTGTGGGCTGCAGACTGCACTGGCCTCTTCCGTCCCATCTCCAGTTGAGAACCGGGTGTGCCCCCAGCAGGGCACGAGGCCAAGGGCCAGCTCTGGAAGCTGGGAGCCGGTTTTGTCCTCTTCAGGGGCCTCAGTGGACACTCGGGGCCTTTTTCCTTTGGCATCCAACTCCACGAGTCCCGTCCACCTTCCAGATGCATCCCAGGCCCGGTCGGTTCCCGTCGCTTCTGTGCCTCCGTCCTTGTTCGAGGGGCCGTGCTTTCATGTTCCCTGTGGTCCTTTTCTCCGTCCCTTGCCCTGGCCCTGTGAGAGCTGCCCGTCGTCAGGGGCGGACACCATCCGCAGCCCTGGCTCCGTGGCTCGGTTGTGGCCACAGACGGCAGTGCTTCTGGGGGGAGCGGGCGCCCCCGGCCCGGGGCTGTCCCCACACAGGCAGCAGGCCCGCGCCTCTGCGCCTCACCCCGCAGCCTCCCGGGGTGCGTGGCCCTGCCCCTCAGACGCACCGCTCACCTTGTGACGGCCCCAGAGCCCTTCCTGGGGGCCCCCCTTTCCAACAGCAGTGGTGCTCTATCACCTGTCCTGGGCAGCACACGCCCGTCCGCCAGGCCCTCGCGCTGTGTCTTGGGGGGGGGGTCCCCCTCCCACAGACCCCCTCCCCACGGAGCCTCTGTCCTGCACCCTGCAGCTGCTTCTGTGGGAGGTGACTGTCCTCACATCCCACACGACGGAGCCCCAGGCGGGACTGGGCGGGGGGGATGGTGCATCCGCGGGGCTCAGGCTGTGGGCCTGGCGGGGGGAAGCCTTCGGCTAATGGGATGGAAAAGCTGAAAATAGACGGGGGTCTCGTTTTTAAAGTGGGAGCTTGAAGGCAGCAGGCACTCTGGCCTCCCTGGTGCTTCGTGTCGGCGGCAGATGCCGAGCCCGGGCCGCTGAGCTCACGGGGCGCCGCCACCCGGCCGTGAGGCTCTGCAGAACGTGGGTTCGCCCATCTCTGCCCGTCTTGGGTAGCCAGGTGTTGTGTGGGACCAGAACACTGGACAGAGAATCACGTCTGTCGGGTTCTTCTTGAAGCTTAATGGTTTTGATGAGTAAGAAGGGCATTCGAAGCCGCCTCCTTTGCCAGCGGCTTCATCTTGGTAAATCTGAATCCGTTCCTTCTCGGGTTGGTGTGTGTGTGTGTGTTCATTCGTTCCCTGGTGTGTGTGTGTGTGTGTGTGTGTGTGTGCGTGCGCGCGCACGTTGTTCCCTGGGGAGCTACTCACTCTGGGTTGGGTATTAGAAATGGCTTGTGAGGACCCTGCACGTCCCGCAAGGCTGGTCAGGCCTCCTGGGCTGCCTGAGGGAGCCGCCCGGGGAGCCGCCGGGCCTTCCTGGCAGCCGTCTGGTGGGGCGCAGGTGGGACGCAGGGAGGGCGCTGCCTGGCCCTGTGCTGCCAGGAGGCTTCAGCCACTTGGAACCAGGTTTTAAAGAAGCTCCTCTATTTACCCTCGATTAGGTTTGCCATAAAGTGCTTTTAAAAACGGCCAGAGACGGCGCTTCCATACACGGGCGGCCCTGCTCCTTCCAGGGTGCTTTTCACTTTCTTTCCAGACGGTTTTCACTTCCCCTTTGAGACCTTCCACCCCTGTGATGAGAGCCTCCTGGTGCTGGAGGGCCAACCTGGGACGCCTTTGAGTAAAGGAAAGGCCTCTGCCGCCCCCATGTCCACATGGTTTCCTCCATCCCTGGTCCAGGGCAGGTGCTCATGACATGCAGGCTAGGCCATCTGCCATTTTGATAATTTGGCGCATGGTTTCTTGTAAAACTGGATGGTTTGGGAGTTGTGTGGATCTTGCGCACATTCTCAAGGCCAGCGCCTGGGTGGACGGGCTGCCCTCGCCGGGGTGGGAGTACCAGCATATCGATGAGCAGACCCACTGAAGGGAGGCTAGAGTATCAGGCTGGAGCGCCCCCCCCCCCGCCCCCGCAATGCGCAGTGCAGGCTGAGCCGGGCTCACAGGGCCCACGGCGCCCGCTGTTGTCCACGCTTGTGTGGGCGGCTGTGGCTCGGCGGCGAGGGGGCCGCCGTCCTCCCTGCTGTCTGTAGGCACGGGACTTCATGGATGTTAAGCTGCCAGGGAGGGGGCCTCACTGTCCCCGAGCGATGTTCTCACTGGTTCTCGCGCCGTCTGGGGCCTCGCCCACCTTCCAGGAAGCACGCTTGGAGGGGCCCCTCGGCTGTCCCAGGCTCGCTGTGCGATGGGGAGTCGGCGCCAAGCGTCCCCTGGGCGGTTCTGGGACGGTGGTCTTCTGGTTTCTTAATTCTCTCTCCCTTTCGACCCGGAACAGGAACAGATCATCAGTCTGGTCAACCAGATCTGTGGCAAAGTATCTGGTAAGAACGGCAGCATTGAGAACTGTCTCGGTAAACCTACACCAAAAAGAGGGCCCCGCAAGAGAGCGACCGTGGACGTGCCGCCATCCCGGCTTTCATCCTCCAGTTCATCCAAAAGTGCTTCAAGCTCGTCGTGAAGATGCCAACACCCGTGTCGACTGATATATATTTTTTTGTAATTATTATATTCTAGTTTGGAGTACTTGCTGTAGGATTCAAGCTGTCTTTGCACTAGCTCTAAAGAAGATTTTCTTCTGGTTTTAGAGAACTAATTTTGTTTTAGCATTAAACTGTTGAACTTTTTTTTGTACTTAGAATACCTAGATACTGCAGTCAGATTTTTGAAACTGCCGTATATTCACTGTTTTAAAAACCCTTGAGGGGCTGTATTAATTTGTATTGCCCCTGTGGCTGAAAAACGCCTTTTCGGTTTTTTGTTTTGTTTTTTTTGTTTTGTTTTGTTTTCTTTGGTAACTTGGGGGAAAAAAGGCTTTTTAACCCATTTTTGAAGAGGGTGAAGTTTGGAGAACAAATTTTAAAACCATCAGTCATGTGAGCAGATTTTTCTAGAGAGGAAAAGGGATAGGAGACACACACACACACAAAACTTGAAAAGAAATGGCTTTACTCTGGCTGTCTTTTCTTCTGTCATGTGCAAAATGAGTTTGTAGTTTTTAAAACCGGAGAACCCCCATGTTGTGTCTTGGGGAGGTCATGGCAGCTGAAGGCGGACGTAGTTTCCTAACCCGAGGCAAAACGCGAAGAGGAGCGCCGAGGTTCTCTTTACCAGCACATCACTATGCATCTGTTTTTGGGAAAGAGGAGAGCGAGAGAAGACGACTGCCTGCCTTGGAGGGGTCACGTGAGGGACACCTGTGCCTGATTTCATTAGGAAATCCATTCTGTTATTTTTTGGTGCTGTTGGCTACTTTATCAAAAACCCTTCAATAGCATCCTTAAGAAAAACAAAAAAAGGAAAAAAAAAAGTGATTGAAGCCGTAAGTGCTTCTTTGTCCTAGATGTGCAATCTTTCTAACATTCCGTCTCCATCTCACTGCTTGTTCCCCACCTTCACGCGTCAGCATTAATCTCTCTCTTCAGTTCGTCTCGTTGACGGTCACACTCAAAGCCACTAGGAGGTCTGCAGTTCTGTTTGAATGTGAAAATGCATTTGCGCTCATCTTGTCTATTTTTTCTCTTCATGTTGTAACAAAAAGAAAGAAGAAAAAAAAAAGAATCCCATCCCTTTTGTACATACGCCTGTAAATTGTTTTAAATACTTGAGCCTTTTTCTCGGTGGGGGGGTGGGGAGGGCGCGAAGACAAGATGAAGAAAAGCCTTACGTTTCCGTTTCTTCATCGGGTGGATTGGATGCTTACAGGGTTTTTCTTGTAACATTTATAAGTGCTGCTTACATCACTGAACAACAACAACAAAATAATAATGGAGTAGCTGTTGCCCTTCTCCGGTTGTGTGTACAGTATGTGTGGAATAAAAAAGGGAACTGTTTTCACAAGCTGTTCTTTGTTTCGTAATTGGACCCACCGAGCCCGTAGCTGCCCCTGTTGCACTGAGCTTGTCAGCGGGACTGTCAGGAGCGTCCTGTGCTACACTTTGTTGGTTGTTGTTGCAGAAGACTGAACTGTTTTTGGAATATTTAACAATTACATAAACAGAGTCAAGTGTTTTCCAATGTGGTTGTCCGGTTTTTATGGCCTTGCTGTGTACTTTCCCTCTTTTTGACAGTAAACTCTGCCTCTGGCTTACAGTTTGACATTTAATTAATTTATTAGCGCTGCTCTGCACCCCTCCCGCGGGAGGGAGGACTTCATGTTGTTTATTGCCAGTTTTTTGTTTACTTTTCAGGTTTGTACTACAAGGTTTAATAATAAAAAGTTTTTGGATATTTGTCTGTCTTGTGGAAGATGAATGAATGAAACGAGGTCGCTCTTCTCTGGTCAACCCCCCCTCCCCCCCCCCCGAAATGCCAGGGAGTCAAGCCTCTGACTGCTGGTGGCTTGCGCGTGCTCCCCCTCCCCCGCCCCCCCGGTGAACGGGGGCCCCCGTGGCTGCTGTGAGCTGTTCCATTCCGAGCAGCCTGCCAGCAGGCTGGGCCGGGAGCACTGCTGAAGGGGGCCCCGCCGGGTGGCCAGCTTCCCGGCAGGAGGAGGAACAGAGAAGTGATCTGGATGATGGATCCTTCTCCTCTGGGCGCAGGTGTGTGTGCTCATGTTAAAGTAGGGACAGCTGCGGGGTGTTGGTTTTGTCCTCACAGAGGGAAACCCAAGCGGACTCGGGCTACACCGTGGAGGAAGCAGATTTAGTCTCTCCAAAGGGCTTCCAACCTCCACACTGGGCCGAGCCAGGGACGTAGGGTTCCCGGCCCAGCCCTGCCAGACGCAGGCGCCTCCGTGGTCCGCGGGGCCCCAAGCTGCCCTCCCTGCCCCGAAGGCCTGAAGGATGGCTCTAGCTAGAAGCCCTTCCGTACGAACTTTATTGTCAGCTGTTCTTAGTCAGTTTCTCACACATTACTGGCAAACTGGGTAAAAACCACCTGCCTGCACAGTGAGGGGACACACGGTGGGAGCACGCAGACCTAGGAGTCGCTGTCGTCCGTGTGTAACGTGGCGAGGGCTGTGTCCACGTCCACGCCCTCCTCGTCAGACTGGACGATGGGGGACTCGCCACGGTCGCGGGGGGCCGGGGCAGCCAGCTCGGGGCAGACGGACAGCGAGGAAGGCCGCGCAGCTTGGGATTCGGCGGCCCTTGGGACCGGGAGAGTGATGTCGTGCCGACCGACCCCCGAGGCGGGCCCTGCGAAGTGAAGAGAAACGGCCATGGAGACAGTGCAGTTGCGAAGTACCACGGAAGGCCATCCAAATGCGCACGCAGTCCGGGGGGCCCCGGTCCCAGCCCCCGGGCGCTGCCGAGTGAGCTGGTGGCGCCAGGGCCCCGAGCGGAGCCTGCCTTCCACACCAGCGAAGCCCAGGGCTTAAGGCACGGGCGGCACTTCTTCGAGTCGCAGCCTGTGTCACCGCCGTAACCTGGATTTCCGTATATCCTTGGGAGGAACCCTGGAGGATCAACGCTAAGAGAAAAGCTCCCTGGTCTTTTAGTGGCTCTCCACCTTCACGGCAACTAAAAAGGCCTGAAAGGAGGCCAAGTCACGTGCAGCTGGTCGAGTTACGGCTTGCGTCCTCCTGACTCCAGGGTAAGGGGCCAGCACTCCCAGCCTTCCCAGCGGCCCCGCCTCGGCGCCCTGGGACAACGGCCGGGAGAGAGCGCTGCCTCGTGGCGAAGTTAAAGGCAGCACCGCTGACGGGAAAGCTGGGGTTTGGGGGGTGGCCCCGGCCAGAGGGGACAGGAGAGCGCTTACCCGCAGGTGAGCAGGCCCCGCCTGGGCCTGAGGGACGGTGTCCCGCTGAGCCCGGCTCTAGGGCTGGGGCCTCGGAAAGTCGTCTGCCCCACTTCCGTGACACAGTTTGGGGAAGGCGGTATGTAGAGGACAAGTGCCCACGGGGTTGCAGCGACCACCCAAACCAGAGCCCAGGCGGAGCAAGAGCTCCAGGAAGCACGTGCTGGGGGCGGGAGGGGCGGGAGGGGCGGGAGGGGCGGGGGTCCAAGCCCTGCGGGAGCCCCGCTCCCACGTCAGGCCCGACAGCCCGACTCCCATGGCCCTCCGAGCCCTGATGCAGCCCGATGGCCCCTGAGGGGGTGTGGACCGCGCTCACGGTCTCGGCCAGGTGGCTGACGGGCAGCAGGACAAGCAGCTGAGCTCGGGCTGGCACGGGCTGACCACAGTTCTCAGAGGGCTGCCCTCTGGAGGGAGAAGGTGCGAGTATGAGTGTGACAGTGTGTGCGAGCTGGTCACCCCCACCTGAGACCGGAGACAGTGCCGTGTTGTCTTCGCCGCCGGAATTCAAGAAGACGTCCAGGGCCTCCTGGTCAGAGATGTCCATCAGATCCATCTGCTCCAGCATGTCAATGTTCACTTCCATGGACGACATGCTGCCCATGGGCTCTGGGAAGACACGGGCGCGAGAGGAAGTGACACCTTCGGTCTTGAATAACCCTTTCAGAGGTGAGCTTTGAGTGCATTAGGCTAACATGCTCGCGAGACAGAAGTTCCTGCCATTCCGAACCTTCCAAATCAGAGCGAGGACCCCTCCCAGCGAGGCGCTGCGACTCCCTCCTCGCCCAGCCTTGATGCCCGGGGACCCGTTCCGGCAGCTTTCCTGCTTGCAGGTGCCCCAGACAGCTCGCCCCTGCATGCAGCCATCCTCGCTGCTGAGCGGGGCCCTGTTTCCAAGAGCCCTCCTGCCACCACAGCTCTGCCTCCTGCCTGCAGATGCCCCAAAACGTGGTAACCCCGGCTGAAGCTATCCTTGCCCTGGTGGCCTCTTTCTAGTCCCTGCTCGAGACAGCAGACAAGGTTTGGGCAAGGCCCGCAAACTCTCTGCAGTGAAAGCACAGACTACAGGAAAGGCAAGTCGGCCCACGGGCAAGAGGAGACGAAGACTGCGAGTGAGCCTGGGCCCAGGGGGACGCGGCCCCCTGGTCTGGAGCCCCATTCCTACTACCTCTGTGGCCCAGAAAACCGCAAGCCTGTTGGCTTCACCATCCCAGGCGTGACAGTGTCCGGCAGAAATGAAATATTTCTGGATGCGGACATACCCTCAGCCCTGGGTCTCCCAGTTACGCAGACACACAAACTCGGCGCAGCCCAGCGCTTACGGCACGCAGGACCCTGCCACTCAGAAGGAGGGTCAGCAGAAACACACGTGGGGTAACACCCCCTGCCATTTAATTTAAATGACTTAAGTATTTTAATGAACTTAAAGATGAATCAAAAAAACGGGTTAAAAGACAAACATTTGAGAGAAGCCAAATGACTTTCAGATAGGAACATTTTAGTCACCAAAATGTAGAACTTTGGGCAGGAGTTAAACGGAAGATGAGTGAGGGCCAAAGTCCACAAGAGCATGCTAGACTGAATCAACTCTCCCCTACACAGTCCAGAAACAGCGGGAAAACGCAAACGCTGAACACCGTCAGGGCTCCAAGACCAGACGCTGCGGAGCAGTGACAGTCCACGGGGCTGATTTTCCAGACCAGATTCAGGAAGACAGATAAAAGCAATCCTCACCTCCATCAGTGGAGCTGGAGAACGGCAGAGAGAAGGGACAGATGAGGAAAGAACAGGAAATAGTCTGACAGCTTCTCAACAACAGAAGCCAGGAGACTGTGGAGTAAGAAGTTCAAAGAGGTGAGATGAATGTCATCTCTAAGATTCTAGAACATTAAGTGGCATTTAAGATCAAGGATCAGATACAAGCTCAGTCAGAGCTCGCCAAGTGAAGCCGCTCTGGGCACGCAGGGCCGAAGGGGCCGGGCAGCTGGTCACAGCGTACCCAGTACTAGAGGACTGAGCGCTGGCGACAGGAGCCGCAGGGGGATGTGTGGGGAGCCCACGCGGTGTGAGGCCCTGCTCCAGGGGGAGGGAGGGAGGGAGGACCGGATCATCTTGAGGCACGGCACCCTTAACGGTCACCCTAAGATTCGAAGTAAAGAGCAAAACACTTCTGTCCCTAAGCTGGAGGGAGCTTACTCAAGCTTAGGTGACCTCCCCGAAACGGCAACATCCAAAGCCACGTGGTCAGCATGGACTCGGCCAGGGTGTGGACCGGGTCACGGCCTCGCAGTCCTGCTGTGTCACAGCCCGACCGGTCAGGGCCACTGTGCCCACTGGTCAGATGCGGGCCCCATGGGGGTGCCGGCCGCTGGGCTGGAAACAGGCAGGTTTTCCTTTATGGGTATGAAGGCCTGTCAGCATGGCCTTTCTGGCTACTGGCCTTGCTTTGGCTGCAGTTTTGAAAGGTCCAGAGTCTCCCTTTCCTTTCTGTCTGTCCTGTCCTGTTCGAGAACAGGAGTAGGACTTTGAGAAAAACTGGATTAACAAGCATTGAATGGCACCAAGAAAGATGGTAATGAAGCCACGTATGTCAGTAAGCCCAGGAAATGTAAATGAATCAGATTTGCCAGTGGTAACAGGTTATAAGACTGAATTAAAGTGATTAAAATCTACCTATGTTTCGTTCCTAGCAGACACTCCTAAAACATAAGGACATTAAAACACACGAAAAGCTTAAGAAAAATGGAAAGTAGATAAACAACGTGAAAGCTGACACAGTAATTTTAATAGGAAACAAAACACACTTTAAGGGAAAACAAAAATACTGGGGTAAAGTGTAGTATAGTACTTAGTAAAGGTTCCGTTCGCCAGGAGGACAATTCAAAATTTCTGTGTGATGATATAATTTCTGGCTACGTTTAAAGAATGGCAGACAAAGAAGATCTAAGAAATCCATAATTATGAGGGGAAGGAGGGCTTGATATACCTCTTGGATAATTACATAACCAAACGCTATAAAATTTAGTGATAGGGAATATTTGAACAGCCCAACTTACAAGCCTGTTGCAATGAGTTACACACAGAACCCCCTCATTTAGAATCTTGCTCTCAAATAGACATGAAACATGCAGACAAACTCTTAAGTCTTGAATTAAAAAAAATCAAAATCCCGTTCTCTGACAACCACAAGGAAGTTCATTAGAAATCAGTAACAAACGGTAACTGGAAACACCTTCACGCATTATTTAAAGACACTTCTGAACAGTTCACAAGTCAAATAAGTCATAATGGAAAATCTGAAAAACCCAGGAAGAACTATTACTTGTCAAAACTTGTAGAATTCTGTTAAAAGGGGTGAACTTTAACCTCGTGAAACATTCATAGCTCTGCCTTATTCAGACAAGAATCCTGAAAATCAAGCACAGATGGCCAACTTAAATTAGACCAAAACCCAAAAGACCACCACCTGAAAATCCCCAGCACTGAGGAAGAGAACTTCATGAACTAAAGATTCAAAAGAAAACAAAACTAAAAGTTGTCTTTGAGAAAACACTTAAAAACAGATGTTCTGGGTAAGATTCATCACGAAGGGGTCAATGGCACAAACGAGCAATTTGAGGGAGGCCGAAGCAAAGCTTGCCCCGAATGCCAGAGACGGAGACGTGCACCGCAGGCACCACTGTGCGAACGTATTTGCGAACTACGGACGCGCAGGACAGATTCCGTGGAAAACTTGCTAAAACTAGTAAGAAACGGGAAACCTCTGTAACTATCATAGGGAAAGCATGGGTAGCTCTTGCCACAGAGAGGACTGGCCCCCCAGCAGTGTCCGAGGCACGTTCCCCCAACGCCGGGGAAGAGAAGTGAGGAGAGCTGCTGCACGTGGGCACAAAGCAGGGCTCCTGGAGGGTGGTGCTCCCTCCGTGTAGGAGCTGAACTCAACTACAGCCAACGTCTTCGGGGAGCTTTTCACAGGACCTGGAAATCGGACTCCCACGTTTCCTCGGAAGGACGAAGAGCCCAGAAGGCCAAGGCAACCACAAAGGAGCGAGAAAGCGCCAACGTGTGCAGGGGTGTGCAGGACTCGCCATGAAACACTCCACCTGAGGCCCCAACACCCTGGACCAGAGGATTCTTTGTCGTGGGGCTGTCCTGTCTACCGGCGGATGGCCAGCAGCATCCGTCCGTCTGTCTGCTAGATGCCAGCAGCATGCCCCTGCCCCGAGCGCCCCACCACGGTGCAGACAGGGGACAAAATTGCCCCCGCTTGAGAACCGCTGCTTACTGAAGAATTCGGATGGTACGGTTGGGGCTCCAGGCTAGACACACGGAAGAACAGGTCGGAGAAGAGGGCCTAGGACAGAGTCCCCGTGTACTGCAACAAGACACCCAGCAGCAGTGGGGGAAGAATGCTGGGGTGGAGACAACAGTACCCAAACTGGGTCCTTCCCTCACGATCCGCAGAAAGACCAACTGGTGGTGGATTTAAGAGCCAAGTGTGGAATGGAAAACACTGAAACTTTACAAATGAAACACAGTAGGATGTTCTTATAACTTGCAGCTCTAGCCAAGTTCTACTTGTGTGTTACATGGAGGGAAGGAGTTCCTGAGCGAGACGCAAAAGGACAAACCATACACAATGAAATGGGCAAAGCTGATCACATTAAAATAAACACACACTGAGCAAAGGCCACTCTAGGATCGATAAGCCATGGGTCAAGTGAAGGTGACGGCCTCGGATTATCATCAAAGGCCAATACCACGGGTATAAGACTATGGACAATCAAGGAAATGCAAATCAAAACCCATATAAGAGGTCATTTCGTACAGGTTGGCAAAAACTTAAATCTGGCTCTAACAAGTATTGACAAAGATGAGGAGTGATCAGAACATGCACATACTGCTAGGGACGCTGTAAACGGGTATGGGGATTTTGGCAGGTAATTTGACCATCTAGTAAAAATAAAGATAAGCACATCAAATGACTCTGTAATTACTATCATCGTGATACACCCTAAGGAAACAGTTCTCAAAGCGTGGCCCCCGGGGCCAGCAGCCTCATCCCAGAGCTGGTCAGAAATGCGAATTCTCAGGCCCCACCCCAGACCTACTAGATCAGAAATCCTGGAGTGGGGCCAGCCCCCATGTGAGCAGCCCTCCTGGTGACGGTGAGGCTGGCTCAAGTTTAAGACCCACGGCCCTAAAGAAACTCTCCTCACATGTACCAGACGCACGGGAATGTCCTTCTTAACGGTGGTGTTTTTAGTGAGAAAGAACCTGAAACAACGAAAACACCATCGACACAATGAATAGACTTCCATATATTCATTCAGTAGATCTGGAAATTATTTAAGAGTGAAAAGGAACAGGGGCGCCTGGGTGGCTCAGTCGGTTAAGCGACTGCCTTCGGCTCAGGTCATGATCCTGGAGTCCCAGGATCGAGTCCCGCATCAGGCTCCCTGCTCAGCGGGGAGCCTGCTTCTCCCTCTGACCCTCCCCCCTCTCATGCTCGCTCTATCTCATTCTCTCTCTCAAATAAATAAATAAAATCTTTAAAAAAAAAAAAAAAGTGAAAAGCAACAAACAAGGCTGAAATGAGCCGGAATGGACAATGGTCAGAATACGTGCCCAGAAAGCCAGCATGCAGTGCAGCGCCAATCTGCGTCTGCGCGCAGCCGAGGCGGCCGGAACCGTGAGAGCGGCTGGTCCCTCTGGAGGGGGGCCTTCACTGGGTATGGGTGCTGTTAGTTCTTGAGCTGGGTGGTTAGTACATGGGTGTTTTTTTTTTTTTTTTGAAAATATACCAATAGTTTATCAAGTCAGTCACAAAAGTCCACTTTCCAAAGTAATGCACTGCAAGAGATGAGTTTTGAGACAGTATATGGGTGTTTATGTTATTCCTTATACCTCTGTGTATATTTGGAATATTTCATAACATTTTTTTAAATATCTGAAGCAAATTTGGGAAAACATTAAAATGCTAAATCTGGAAACAGAAGTATGGGACATTTTCAGTTCTTTTCTGGATATTAAAATACTTCCTAATTCAATGAAAGCCAGTAATGGGTCATAGTAAATTTCCAATAAAAATTTTATTTCTAAATAAAACCCTCACAGGGAAGTAATTATACAGAGTTAAATCCATAAGCTGATGACTGTGTTTGAGACACTCCTCCAACTCAAGATAGTATCCTGGGGGGGGCGGGTAAGACACTATATGAATTCTAGTTTGGTGCATTTTTATCTATTAATTCTCCTCTAACTTTGCTAATCTTGCCCACACATCCTTTCCTTCTCTTTCCCAAGCACTGGGTCCATCCTGGAACATCCAAGGGCTGAGTCAGGGCACAGGGGGACACCCCTGGCTCCAGGATTTGACTCTGCTGAGCTCTACAGGGCCCCCTCGGGAGCTGGAGATCCATTGTAGGAACACACAGATACAGAGCAGGGCGTCTCCAAGGTGATCTATTCATTACTAGCTGCACCCTCAACATACCCTGGCTCTCAGCAATGAAGACCACTGAAGCCGGGTCTGGACCACACCAGGCTGCTGTGCCTGGACTGCACTCAGACCCGCTGGGCGCCAGTGGCTCCCAGTTCCCCTCCGAGGCTTGGCACATCTGGTGGTGCCCTTGTGTCTCCAAGTGCGGGACGCCCCACGCTCTGCGGGTTCTCCAGCCTCACCCGACCCAGGGTCGCCCGAGGTCCCTTTACCCTTTACTCGGATACTTTTCTGGGTAAAATTTCCCATGCCTTTGTCTTCATTAAAAAATGATGCTTTGGAAAGTGAGAAAAATTCAGACTGCTATTTCTGATTTAGTGGAAGGAGTCTAAAATACCATGTTCACTATGGAGATTTTTTTATCTTGACTGATTCTCCTACATGAGACCTCCCCACGTTCATCCTTGGGAGAGGACTGCTGGGGAAGACAGGCATGTGGGACTCGCCAGGCTGGGAAGCCCAAGGGACGGCTCCCAACAGCTCTGTGGAGAGATGCTTGTTATCTGCAAATGTCCTTCCAGCTCTGGCTGCAGCAGAAAGCGAAAAAGCCCAAATCTTCCAATTTTCTTCTTCAGTGCTTTAAGACCACACAAGGGGGTGCCTTTAGGAGGCGAACAGGCTGAGATGAGGTGGGGAGGGCTGGGCCTCCCCTAAGGGGATTAGCGTCCTCCGCAAAGACATGCCCGAGGGGGGCTCTCACTGCCACGTGGGGGTGCGACGAGATGCAAGCCCAGGAAGAGGGCTTCTCCCCTGGGAGCCGAAACTGCCGGCACCTTGATCTTGGACTTGAGCCTCCAGAACTGTGGGAAATAAATGCCCGCGGTTTAAGCCACCCGTGTCGGGGGGTTTGTTACAGGGGCTCACGCTGAGACGGCCTCCTCCTCACCCCTGCGCACGACAGGACCCACATCCCTGCAGCAAACGGGCCGCTCACTCCATAACCAGCCCCAAACCCTGGAGCAAAGGAATAGCGTGCGTGTTCTGAGGAAACGGGCAGCCTGACCTTCCTAGATGAAGACAGACTTTAGGTCGGAGGCATACAACAGGGAAAGCCAAGTCCGGAGAGACGAAGACGCTCATCTTCAAACCTGTCTGACCCACTGCAAGAAAGCCTTAGCCACCCGACGCGTCCTCTGGTGCTTTCCAAGGCATTCAGATATTACTTCTCATCAGTTTTCTCTGCATTATTTTCCTTCCTCGTTTTTGATTTCTTTAGCCTCTCCTGGGGGAGGCCACAGGATAGAAAGGGAAAGAAGAGCGTGAGTTACGTCGGGGGGTGTGGTGAGGGGCGGGGGAGCCCAGGGAGGCTGAGGACAGTCAGATCTGGGGAGGCGGGGGGGTCTCTGGGGCGCTGAGGGGCAGGTGAGCCCAGAAGGCCTGGCCGTCACTGCTCCTGCCCGAGAGGAATGGAAGCTGCCACGTAGGCCCCCGGCTCTCAAAGGTGGGATGAGGGACTCCGTCCCTGATGCCTCCCCTGCTCCGCTTGTTCCTGGGAACCATCGAGATGCAGACAGACATTTATGCATCTAGATGTGCCTCACACAACCATTTATAAAGGTAAAGAACCAACACGTTCAGCTAGGAAACTGGTTAAACGTAGCACGGCGTACATCCTGCTGGTGAGGACGCACCTCTGCACCCACGCCCTTCTAAGGAATTCTTAACACGGGGAATGATGCCCGTGGAGTGACTGGACACAGGTACGCTGTGGTAGCAGTTACGTACACAGACAGACTGGGAAAGAACCACCCCGAAAATAGTAACGGAGATTATTCTGTGCTGGAGAATTAAGGGTAATGTTTGTCTTTCTTAGTTTTTAATAAAACGTATTTTATGTTTTCTAAGTATCTCCAATTAAAGCCTAGAGCTACAGGAAGACGCAAAAACCACGACAAGACAGACGTGGCATGACGCATCCACTCTGAGTTTTGGGGACTGATACCAGAATGGACTGCAGGGGACTGTGCCCCATGACCCGGCCGGGGGATGCAGTGTGACACGGTCTCCGTCCCCCGCTGCCAGCGACCCTCTCCCCCACTTGCCTCTCCTCTCCGCTATCTGCAGGTAACCTGTGGAAAGGTACTGCTCCATGTCCTGCTGGAAGGCCTCCTCGAAAAACTTCTGCCGCTCCTTCAGCTTCGCTTGCTGGGCGTGCTCCATTTCCAGGACCTTCTGGGTGTGCTCGGCATCGAGTTCAGCTAAGGAAACAGAACACTCTGGGTCAGGGTTTGAGAAGGGGCGGGGAGACAGGAAACGGGAATACATTCGTACTCCTGCGAGCCTCCAGGCTGAGAGGCCGGTGCCCCGACGGAGACGCAGGCCGCCTCCCGTCCCCCAGTCTGGGGCTCTTCCTCCAGTCCCCAGCGTGCCAGGCCCTGGCCGTCCGTGCCTTTGCGGTCCCCCCACTCCCGCCTGCAGTGACCTTCCCAGCACACTTCCCACTTCGTACAGAATAGCTTTCGGGCAGACAGGCGGACAGGGCCCTAGACAGAGGCTGCCCTCTGCCCTCCCCCAGCGCGGAGCCAGGCGCACAGGAAGCACCAAGTAAGGGAGCAAGGACGCAGCTGCTGGGGTGCAGTGGCCACGGGGGGTCTGGGCTTCACTGCTCACCAGCCATGCAAGCTGCCTGACATCCGTCAGCCTTCCTGAGCTTCACGGGGCCCATCTGAATTTGGGACAGGAATATTAACCCAATACTGACGCGCGACGTCAATGGAATCGTGCTGAAAGAGCTTTACGATTCAAGTGAGCAGGGACCCTTCAAGCTGGGGCCGAGTCCGTACGAGCAGGCAAGAGCCATCAGTCGGCAGCACGCCAGCAAGAACCCCACACTGGCCTCCGGGGGCCTCACCGTCCTCCGCGCCCCTGTGGAGATACTGGGTCAGGCATATACCATCGTTTGCCCTGTACGTGGGCCACAGGTTATGAATCCTCGGGTCCTCTGGGCGTCACACGGCAGTGGGCACCCACTCGATACGGCCCCCAAGATCCCCGGCCCCCTGGGGCGCAACCCCGTGTGACCCCCAGGCCATGACTGCATCGGATTTCCCCGCCACAATTTGCTTAGGCCCCGTGGCATGGCTGATGTGAAGAAAGAGGGGCCGGCCTGCCCTGCCCCGGCCCTTCAAGGCCCCGGCACTGTTCCTGGACAAAGTGATGTAACCAGGGACATCCTCCCGCACGGGGGCCGGTCGGCAAGGCCCCCAGGCGGTGTTCAGGGACGGACAGCAGTCCCCGGGGCGGGGGCCACCAGCGCAGAAACAGGGACCTCCTCCTGCAAGCTCCGCCGACAACCTGACCGAGCGTGGAAGCGGCTTCCTCCCCCGACTCTCCGGACAGCAGTGCAGACTGGTCAGCACCCTGCTGGCGGCCTGTGAGGCCCGGGGCCTGGACCGACCGTCCTATAGGCTGTGAGCGGAGACATCTGTGCTGTTTATTTCAGCCACGAAGCGTGTGCTGGTCTCTTAGGCAGCAACACGGGGACCCTGCAAGTGAACTGCATCAGTTCCAGCCCCTGCCCAAATCGGACCGGTGGAAGACTCAAAAAACGACAACTGGAGGTATTTCCCTTACACAAATATTTTGCAACAACTACCTTGTGGCAGACACGACGCTAGGCTGAGTTTGGCAGAACAGAACGTGTCCGCTACCTTACTGTCGTGGAATAAACTGAGGGCCCCAAACACTGAAAAATAATTTCACTGAAGACATTATTCCCCACAGTTTACCCTTGGGGTGTTAGAACTCCTCTAACTCAATAATAAAAAAAATCCAATTACAAAATGGACAGAGAATCTGAATAAACACTTTTCTTAAGAAGACATAAAAATGACCAACAGGTACACGAAAAGATGCTCAAACATTACTAATCACCACAGAAATGCAAACCAAAACCACAGTGAGAGAGACCATGTCACATCTGCTAGAATGGCCATCACTGGGAAGACACGAGATAACAGGTGCTGGTGAGGATGTGGGGAAAGGGGAGCCCCCATGCACTGTGGGTGGGAAGGCAAGCTGGTGCAGCTGCTGTGGAAAACAGGATGGAGGCTCCTCAAAAAATTAAAAATAGAATCACCCTACGATCCAGCACTCGCACTTCTGGATTACATATCCAAATGAATGAAAACAGCATATTGAAAAATTATCTGCACTCGTCGAGCATTACTCATGATAGCCAAGATATGGGAAGAACCTAAGTGTCTGTCAGGAATGAATGGATGTGGGGGGTGTGTGTGTGTGTCCGTCCATAGGCATACAACGGAATACGACTCATTCATGAGGAAGAAGGAAATCCTGTCATTTGTGACACTATGGACAGGCCTTGAGGGCGTTACGCTAAGTGTGACAAGTCGGACAGAGAGAGACAAATCCTGCACACTACTTAGATGTGGACTCTAGTAGAAACGGAGAGTAGAATGGTGGTTACTAGAGACTGGGCGGTGGGGGAAGTGGGGAGATGTGGGTCACAGGGTACAAACTTGCAGTTAGAAGAGATCTCATGTAAAACACTGTGGTTATAGTCAACAGTACTGTATTATATACTTCAACGTTGCTAAGAAACTAGATCCTAAGTGTTCTGACCACAAAAAAGAAATGATAATTTTGTGAGGTGATGGAGGTGTTAGCGGACGCTACAGTGGTAATCAGACTGCAATATACGCTTGCATTAAATCAACACGTACACCTTAAACTTCCACAATGTTATATGTCAATTATGTATCAATAAAAAATCCTTGGGGTGTTACCAAGTGATTTTTTTTTTTAGTAGGCTCCATGCCCAGTATGGAACTCATGACCCTGAGATCAAGAGTGAGCTGAGATCAAGAGTTGGATGCCCAACCGACTGAGCCACCCAGATGCCCCTGCAGTGATTTTTAACAACAAAAATACATAAAACTTACAGTGAACAATGGTCTACGAGGCCCAGTGTGCTCTGCCTTAGTTTCTTCACCGATATTCAACACCACATTTCACAAATGCTGAGAACATAATCCTATATGCATGATATACCTTAAAAATTCAATAATGGAATATGTTTTTTTAAAAAAGATTTTATTTGAGACAGAAAGCGAGAGCGAGCGAGCATGAGCAGGGTGAGCGGCAGAGGGAGAAGGAGACTCCCCCTGAGTAGGGAGACTGATGCAGGCCTCGATCCAGGGACTTGGATCAGGACCTGAGCCAAGCCGAATGCAGATGCTTAACTGACTGAGCCACCCAGGCGCCCCAATGGAGTTGGTTTTGATCCCAAATCAGTTATAGTCTCCAGTACTTAGACTATTCTGGGCATTCTTCTTGTATTCTAACCTACATCCATGCAAGCAATACAAACTAGCATTAACCAAGCCACACCAACAAAAAGGAAACCTTCCCCACTTCATATAATTCCAGGCATTACACCTACAATGTGCCTTCTCTTCACACTATTATAATCACTATGGGCATTCTCTGTATTTCCATGTCACCCTAACTAACCCCATCTCATAGGTCTGTTTACAGGAAGATGGTCTGGAAGGAGCTCAGGTTTTGGAATCAGTCCAGGTAGGGTCCTATCCCTTTTAGCAGATATCCCTGAGACTACTTCCTGCAGACGCCGGTTCCCTTGTCTCTCCATATTTCTGCTCATCATTACTACTACTTATTCTTGGAGTCTTGGGGAACCTCAAACCACAGAGCCCAGAAGTTCTGGGGAATTAAAACAGCTCTCAACCAGAAGTCAGTGTATCAATGTTCCAGTCTCCCATCCTTTGCATGGATAATTCTAGGAGGCATTCTGAACACTTCCCAGAGATCCTGGGGGAAATGCAGCCCCTTGGCTCTAGCGTCGACTTTAATAACACATCCCTGTCTTGGCTTTTCCTCCCATGCTTGCTCTCTGCGTCCTCACTCCTGCTCCCCGGGACCGCCTCCCACACAAACTACCTGCAGCAAGATCCTCACCCCAGGCTCGGCTTCCAGAGAAACCCACGCTAGCCTATCTAGGACTAGCTATCACGTAACCTCCCTGAGCGTCAACGTCCTCCTCTGTATGAGAAAGGTAAAAACACCTACTCTGTAAGTGGTTGGCAGGACTAAATGAGGGAAGAGACGTGAATCACCAGGCACACAGCACTGACCAAGAGCTGACAGATCCTACCAGCAGTATTTGAAATAATGGATTCTTGAACAGGAATAATATGAAAAAGGAATATGAAACATTACCACGAGCCAGGATGCGCACGACACTGAGAATCACCCCAGCTCTCTTAGCCCCGCTCAGGCACTTCGGAACCAGCCACCTTTCAGTGGCCTTACTACCTCGGCGCGGAACTGAGTGGACTCGGAAGAGGGGACGGAGGGGACCGAAGAGGATGTCTCCTCATCTGTTTCACTTCGGCCATCAACCTCTCTGCTCAAACGCTTCCTGGCTGCCAAGTGCATTCGAGTAAGTCAACCCTAAAGTAGATTAAATATGCTTCAAACGCTTCAAGCCAAGTTCACTTAATCTTTAGGAAAAAATAATTCCAGAATAAGCAGCTCAAAAACAGATCAATGTAGAAATCAAAAGGGGTTTTCACTAAAGAATACCTTGTTTTAACCAAATTAAGATTTTCTATAGACAGTTGTATAGCTTGAAAACTTTCATTCTTCTCAAGACTTCTGCTTCAAAAGTTCAGTTCTCTCCTGTTTCTGAATTACAAGTCCTATGTTTGTTTGTTTTTAAGATTTTATTTATTTATTCATGAGAGAGAGGCAGAGGGAGAGGGAGAAGCAGGTCCCCTGCAGAGCAGAGAGCCCCGCGTGGGGCTTGATCCCAGAACCCTGGGATCAAGACCTGAGCCGAAGGCAGACGCTTAACCGACTGAGCCACCCAGGCACCCAGTCCTATGGTTTTTTATCTTAAGCTTTCTATACTGGAATGAAATCTAATCATGTGTCAACCCTCACAAAAGCAGGGGGTAAGGTAGATGAGGGAATTTAAAATGACTTGAGGAAGAAGATCACAATTTTTTGTTTTCAAGCATGTAACGCAGTCGTTATTGGCAATACTGGCGACCGCCCGACGTCGGCTTGTACCTGACCACGTGGCGACAGTCAGCGAGCAGCACAGCAGGGCCCCCCGAACCAGCTCCACGCTCAGGGTCATGATGAAAAAGCACAGGGCGGACGGTAGCCGTGCAGAAGCTGCACCCTGGCCTCGGGCCTGAGCGAGAAGGTT